GCTTTCCAATTTGACTTCTTTATCCAAATAGATTACATAGGGTTTTAGTTTGATAAATAAAATAAAACAGCAAAAGAAACAAACAAAAGTGCCTCAAAGGAACATCAGGTGTAAATATGGATCATTGTAATTATTTATTTAAATGCATAGACATTACACATTAGTTCAAAATAATCTATATTACTTTATGTTTTCATAACATCAAGAATTGAAACAGGAATACTAATAGATATCTCAGTTGTAACATATATATGTCATCATATAATATGGAAAAAATATGTTCAATAATTCACTGCAACACCTGTGTCAAATGAACTTTCTTCTCCGACAAACATTTTGTGAAAAGAAAGAAAGAATCCTAAAAATGTGTGAGAAACAAGAAATTGCATTGCATAAATACTTAAAACATTTTGGGGTTGGTTTTCAATAGCAAGAACCAAATCTTTTGTTGTATGTATGAATGCCAAAACCTTCTATTCTGTTTATGGTATGGTATGGTATGGTATGGTATGGTATGGAAGAAAATGAAGAGAAAACCAAATATACAAGCATTTAGTAATTATAGATGATCTGAAATCAGTTTACTTATTAAATGAATCCCAGCACTCAAGCACCTCTTTAATGAACCAATAAGACCTCACAGGAAACAAAGATTTACTTCTTCAGAGCAATCCCGTATTGCCACTAACTCCCTGTGAGGAGGGTATTATCTTGAACTTTGTATCTAAATAGTTTCTGCCTTTTGTGATGATGTGCTGAAGCTCCACGGAGTTTGTAGGAAGATTTTTATCAGGGTGAACAGCATAGTGGGGTGCACTATATTGTTATGAGTTAAACATGGGGAAACCCATTTTCCACCTTGATTTTTGTCATTTTGCAGAAGAAAATAATTTTGAATTCAAAATGTTTTATTCCTGTTGTCTCTGTAGTGCTTCTCAAAGGAGAGCTCTGCACAGTAATGCTGCTAAGCATGTTGGAAGTGGATTGCTCCTATACCAGGAGTTGAAGCCCATTCCATTAATCAGTCTGAATCAAGTATTGCAATCCATAACAATATAACTAGGAAGTACTTCCTGTTTGCCAGACAATAACCGTATCCTGAGTCAAACTCAGTAACCAAAGACTGAGCAGAAGGGAGGCCTGGAAATTATGATTAATAATAAACTAAAATGTCATAAATTAATCAGAAGTATTCTTTTTCCTCTAGAAGAAATGAGCAGTTGAGGGGACCATGTTCATTGTAGGCATAACAATGGTGAATTCTGATGGAAGCTCTGAAACCCAATGTATGGGTTCACGTACTCTCTGGTTATCAGAACGAGTGCATAGTTAAAAGCCAGGATGCAGGAATTTATATATGTCACATTTACAGAAAACCACCAATAAAAACGGCAAGTCATTTGTGAGCTGCCCTCAGGTTGGCTAAGATCATTCACTTTAGTAAATGAAATCAACAGTAATTGAGGGAAACTTTACTCACAAGACTCAAGGCTTTACAAAATATCTTATTACTATGTGGATAAGGTCCCTGTCAGTAATGATTTCAAATTGCCTATGAACATATTTTAATGATCCCAAATCTCCTCCGGGGGAATAACCTACTTCAGGAACTCTCAGGTTCACTTTGCTCAAATGGTCCTGTGAAGCTTTACATCCCACTTCCTAGGGATCAGTTCACTCCCCACTGAATTCCAAGGGAAATGAATTAGGCCTCAACTGAAGTCAATCGGAATTTTGCCACTGATTTCAATAGATCCAGAATCAGACAGTTAGGTAAGAGAAGATAAGGAAGAAAACTAGATTTCAATGGAGTTGCATGGATGTAACAGAGTAGAATTAGACTTCATATGTACATAACTCTCTTAGCAACACTAGGAGTTAAAAGAAAAGGAGTACTTGTGGCACCTTAGAGACTAACCAATTTATTTGAGCATGAGCTTTCGTGAGCTACAGCTCACTTCTAGCTCACGAAAGCTCATGCTCAAATAAATTGGTTAGTCTCTAAGGTGCCACAAGTACTCCTTTTCTTTTTGCGAATACAGACTAACACGGCTGTTACTCTGAAACTAGGAGTTAAGCACACGAATCTGGAAAAAAGAAAGCTCCACAGAAAAACTGGTAGGGTCTTATATCTATGCTAAAGAAAAGACAGCAATTCCTGCTTCTGGACCTATTGAAATCAGTGGCAAAATTCCCATTGACTTCAACTGAGGCCTAATCCCTTTCCCTGGGAATTCAGTGGGGAGTGAACTGATCCCTAGGAAGGGGGATGTATGGCTTCACAGGGCCATTTGAGCAAAGTGAACCTTAGCGTTTCTGAAGTAGATTATTCCCCTGGGAGGAGATTTGGGATCACTAAAATGTGTTCATAGGCAATTTGAAATTATTACTGACAGGGACCTTATCCGCCTCCCAATCTTCACATAGGACACTTATTGACAATAATGAGAAAGTTCCTTAAGTGCAAAGTGTAATGATGACAGGGTTTTTTGTTTTGTTTTTTAGAACAGTCTAAACTTTCCCCTTTGATGCATGTAAGGCTCTTATTTAAATCAATGGGAGCCATATGCATGCTTCTGAAAGCAGAATTTGGCCCAATGACTCTTTGGCCTACCCACAGATGCTGTGTTCCACTGAACATGGCTCACAAGCACTAGAGCATGTATTGTAACATCAGAAATAAAACTAATCTTCTGCAAAAATGTCTCCAGCACCAGAATATATAGTTTAGCACCAAAAAGGCAGCCTTTGCTAGCCATTTGCTCAGTAAATGACACAACAGTGAGTCAAAACTATCACAGGCAATTATTATAACACAAAGGGCTCCACTGGGTTCTTAATGGCATTGCTGCATCCTTTTAGCTTTTTACTCCTATAACTCTAATAAGTGCCTCTTATTTTAAATCACAGTTATTCTTCATCCCTATTTTATTTTTTGTACAGTTTTATAAATATCTGTTTTATATTTAAAGTAGAACAAAAGATATTGTATCCAAAAGGAATATTTTTCCAATAGCCAGCCTACTGTTATAAAAGCACACTGCTATTCTGCTCTGTAGGAAAAAAAAAAGTGCCGACTTGTAAACCTATGAAATGGGTGGTATATTCCCATGGTATTTGGGGTTTTTTGGGTTTCTCTTTTCTCAGTGTAGCTCTGTAATGGTGAGAGAATATTATATGACACCTTTGGTCTTCAGCACATTTCTGCTATTTTTATTCCAACAGCATTTTGTGTCAGGTAATCAATCAAGCAGCATTGACACAGGCTATCAAAGTAGATGGTTGCTGGCATTGTCATTATTCAACCCAAGGGAAAGCTGATGAGAGAAATTACAGGGATTCAAATAGATAATGCACGTTTATAAAAAATTGAAGAGTAAACTGCATTAGGTTAGTCAAATGTCCAGTTAGTTGTAACCTTCTCTGTTAAATGAAATATGTTAAACTAAATGTTTGTTGCTGGTTTTCTCAAAAGCTGCTCTTATGAAATAGCTTATATCCAGATTATTTCCTGCTGCTGCTGTAAATTACAGTGTGATTATGACAGATATAATTATCCGTAGCACCATTACTGTGTTTTGAAAAAAACTGCACCCCTGTTTGATAGTAGCAAAGTTTGCTATTATTTATATCTACAGAAAACAAAATATTCCAAATGATCAGCTTATTATTACCAAGTTAAAAAAAGTAACAGATACAATAACATATATACCCGTTATAATACTTTCAGCTGAATTACAGAATTATAAATTAATTTACAATTTCTAGTTCTGTTTGGAAAGTGTACCACACAACGTACAAGTTGCAAGTTACAAAGTGCATAGTTATTAAACATTAACTCCAATCCTTAGGCTCTGCAGCTTAGAACTTTTGTTAACATAGTCTCTGCCTGTTATTTTTTTACAAATTTTTGCAAATGTAAGGAAATGCAAACATGTAAAATTTTATCTGTTCCCCCTTCATCTGCCAAAAAACATCTGTCATGTGGAACAAAAATGCATTTTGCCTCTATATTCCTTAGTCAAAAACTCCCATTGGGTTACAGAACATGGCCTATGTACCACTTAAAACTAAACCTTTCAAACAGAGCCTTAAGTGCTGCAGAGACCTTGTGTTTTCCCTCTGCAAAGGGGTGAATTTCACCCAGTTGGACTATTTGACCAAGTGAGGACTGCAGAACCTCAAGCCCATTGTTAACAGTGAGGAAAACCTGTAACATTTAAATTGTTACTAAAATAATAGTTACAGAAACATCACACCTGGTTTGGTTTTTAATTTCTGATGCCTAGTGGCATTATATGCTTCTCTAATTATTGTCTTGTCAGACAAAGGAATGTCACCCAGAGATATGCTTGAAGAGCTACAGTACAATAAATGACTTTCTCTGAGTTAGTGTCAAATCATAGAGATCTGAAGAGTGATAATTCCATTTGGAATATACTACAACACTCATTCTGTCCATATAATTGATCCCTTTGGCAATAGGGTTGACTACATGTAAATTATTCCCATATTTGTAATTTTAGTAAAGTTATCCTGTACTCTGGTGGCAGGCTTTCTTAACCAGCCTTGGGAAGAGGGCATCTTTGCTTTAAAATAACATGCATATATGATTGATTCTGGTGAAGCTATACTATACCACTCTAATTGTTCTACTGAATCTGGCTGTTCCAAAGCTCATGAACTTCAAAGCTCCCAACACATCTGTGCCAGGCAGAGTGGAAATGTAGGAAATTGTAAACAACTAATCACTTGTATTCCCTGTTCATCATGAGCAAAATTCTGCCTTGCGATATGAAGGTACAACTCTCAGTCACTTCAGTGACAGTTGCACACACGTATCTGAGGGCAGAATTTCGACCCTGGTCTGTTATGCATACCATTCAGGAAAGCTATCTGTACATATATACAGTGTTTTAGTTTCAGCTGTAGTCCCTTTCTCCATAAATTTTCCACTTAGCTCCCACAAGAAGTTTGTTTTTTGGGGGAGAATAAATATATTTTTCTTCGCTGGTTTATAAAGATAATTTTCAGGAAATAGCCTCACCAGATTGTGTAAAGGACTCTGTCAACTGTTTTACAGATTCTGTTTTTTGGTTGCACACCATTTTTTAAATAAAAATTCCATTTTCACTTTGTGCTTTTTATTTGGGATATCCGTTAGTCAAAATTGTGCAACACTTAGGCCTAATTGGAAGTTTTACCGATAGGACTATTTCAACTAGGGATGTGATCTTTTTTGTTTAAACTGACATATTTATAAGGTAAAAGCCCTAGTATGGATGCAGATATACCCGTATAAAGGTGTTTTATGCCAATATAGTTATTCCCCTTCCTATACGGAATAGTTATAATGGTAAAAAGTGCCTTTACACTGATATAACTGCATCCACACTAATGGGGTTCTACAATGTTAACTACAGTATAGTTAAAGTGATACAACTTTCTAGTTTAGACAAAGCTTTAGTCAGGTTGGTGAACAGTTGCAGTTCCATCATATTTCTTAGTGGTACAAGGGCCAGGAGGGCTTCCTATTCTTTACTTCTCTATCTCCACACAGGCATCATTGATGATAGCAGCAGTGGTGTGTGGAACTCTTGAAATACCTTTAAATTAATCACTGTTGTGCATGGGGGAGCTAACGTAAGGCTAAATTCTGGAGTTCCTCCTGCACATATGTTTTCTCTTGCTCAGAGTCCCATTGACTATGCAGGAGTAAGCAAAAGTGCAAATGGGAGTAACCATTTGCAAGATGAGGGCAATGTATTCGGGGCAGGGGAGGAGTTGTACTTTTTTTGTACATTTGTACATTTTTCAGTTTTAAAGCACTGGTGTAGTTGCCAGTGAGCCTGTATCTATAATTTCAAATTTTAGACTTAAGTTGACAGTGCCCTTTTAAATTTGCTTTTAATATCAAACAGAACATATTCTTTACGAATCAGAGTAGCAGCCATGTTAGTCTGTATTCGCAAAAAGAAAAGGAGAGTTCTTGTGGCACCTTAGAGACTAACAAATTTAGCTCACGAAAGCTTATGCTCAAATAAATTTGTTAGTCTCTAAGGTGCCACAAGAACTCCTATTCTTTAGGACGTTACACTTTCTTAAGATGCTTAAGATTATCCTTCTCTACATGATCATGGCCTGAAATGGAGAATTATAGTTATACATTCCAAAGAGTTAAAAATGAATCTATACTGTACTCTGAAAGCTAATTATACAAAAGCATATAAAAAGAAAACAAGGGTATTATTACTATATATATATATATGTAAAATATGTGCAAAATTCAATATACAAGCTTTTGTTTCTCAGCCATATTATTTAAAAATAATGTAAACTCGTGTTAACTTATTTAAACCAATATAAGTAGTTTGATGTTATTCCTGGAAAACAAAGATTGTCAGTACAAGCCGATCCATAACTAGGAGGGCAAGCGGAACATGGGACTCCTACTTTATATGGCGCTTCTCCAATCCAGTTGCCCCTGAAAATATAAAGTAATACATATTTTTAGTAACTTAAGAAAAAATATCCCTTAATAAGTGCAAACTAAGTATGGGTGATGGATTGCCCATCATGTATTTATAAAATATTTTCATATTGCATTGTTGACAGACACTATTTTCGGAATGACTTTTGCAACTTTGCTCTCTAGAAAGAGAAACCAACTGGAGGGCTCCTGTTAATAAGATATTAGTGTCACAATGTTGTTGCAAAGTTTTAAAACTTTCATTGATTGTATATTTGTAATGTTTATTTTCAAGAAGGGAGTGGGTCTTTTGAGGATCTTGTTATAGGGTTTAGCTGATCTGGGATCCATTTTGCTGGGTATTGAGTGTGAACTCGTGATGGTTTGCTCAAAGGAACTGGGAAAACAAAGGACTAGTCACAAAGGCATGTAAAAAGAGTGCAGGAACTGTGAGATGGTTGGCAAGTTTCACTGAAAGATGAAGTCAGGGGTCTATTGAGATTTCATGAGGACCAGGGATTTGTCTGGAGGTTGTGGGTGCGTAGTTTCTGCTAGAGGACCGAGGGTACAGGTAGGTAGCAGGCTGCAGAGGCAAGCATGAGGAGTGGGGAAGTCTCAAATGAGTCACCTGAATAAGCATCCAGACTTCCAGATGCTTATAAAAAGCTCTAAACTTTTAGAGATTGACCCATCACTATTGACTCTGGGATTACAGGATGGTCACTGGAGAAAGAAAGCTAAAATTAGATTTCTACTTAAATGTTGCAGTTCACTAAGAAAAGAACCTTCTAATATATGTGTGATGTGCTACAGCAGTGAGTAATGCAGTTATTTGTGAAGCATTTTCTCGTTCCCCCCTTTCCAGCCAATAAAGATGGATCAAAAAGCCTAACTTTGGGTTGTGTCTTGGAAGAAAGTAGGAGTCTCTCAAATACTTTACACATTCTTATTCCTATTCCAAATGGGCACAGCAGACGGCACAAGCAGGGAACAGATACTGTAATCTAGAGGAAGTGCCACAAGTTTAATGTTGGCTTCATTCACTGTATCATGGGTGATTAATAGAGCTGTACATTAAGTATATCAGTTAATTACGTCTAAACCATACACACATTTTTAAACAACCTTTCTTAACACTGTTTCTGAAATCAGAAACTCAAGACAATGTTTTTCAACCAGTTTATAGTAGGGTATACATCAGCTAATAGGAGGTATAGCACTGATGTCCTAGGAAAATTCCAATTTGAATAATGTTATTCTGCACCTCTAAAACCCCTCTCATTTAAAACGGTTACAGCGTCCTTCACTTCCTGCCCTCAACTATTGTATAGTTCTGTGGTATGTTGTGTAGCTGAGAGGTGCAAATGACTTAGTGATTAGTGAAGTGTGACCCATATGTAGATATACAGGTCCTGACCTTGAAGTCCTTGCCAAGTTTCATTCATTCTTTTCAGGCAAATTTCCACTGACATCAAAACAGGGACATAGGAATTGTCATGCCAGACCAGAATAGTGGTCCTTGTAATACCAAATCCTTTATCTGACAGGGCCAAATACTAGGGATGAAAATACTGGTCTCACTGACTTCACTGGAGCCAGGAATTCACCCAAAATACTTCAGAGGAAGATGTTAGAAACCCTTTAGGTTATGGGATAACCTGCCTATAGGGGATGTTTCTTCCTACCTCTAGTCAGTGAATAGTTGGCTTAAGCTCTGAAGGATGATAGCTCACATCTCATTTAAAACACTGTTTTATCTTATCTGGTGTAACTGCAGTCTAACCCCTTTTTAAATCCTTCTAAGCCTTGGCATCCATATTTAGCGGCCATGAGCTAATAACTTTGATAGAGTAAGGGCCTAGTAAAAACTGAGTTGGAACCTCAGGATTTCTTCTACAGATTGCAAAGTATGTCAGGATTTTCAGAACAAAGGAAACTAAATGTAACATATCATTATTACAGGGTTAATAATGCATCAAATAATGAATCAAATAATTCAGCAGTTCTCAACAATGCCTCTTATTCATTTGCCATAATTGAATGAAATGAATGATGTACCCTAATAATTTCGTAATTACTTTCTGTTTTTGTAATTTTTGATACATACATACACTATAATGCCTGGGTTGCTATTAAAGACAGGCTCAAGTTATGATATTTGGAACCTGATTGGAATATCAGTCCAAACATCCCCAAAGTGTGGAGATTGGAGTCAGCTCTAGTTTTACTGTCTGATCCCCCTCTAGTTCCTTTGCCACGATTTTTTATATTAATTGTATTAGTAAATATAAAGGACCTGCAGTCTTGTCTCCCAAAATAGAAGTGGTTTCTTCTTTGGGGTTTTTTTCCCCAAAATTTCCCTGTTTGGGGGTTGCAACTCTTTAGAGACAGTTAAAAATTATCTTCTTATGTATATAGCAGCTGGGACAATGAAATTACTGACACTCATTCACTGCCCTGTTCTTTACCACTTATGGGTCTGTGACATTTAAAGTTTATCAAACCTGTACTACTCATCATTGTTTATTTGGGTTGTTTTATACAGCACGATAGAAAAAAAAAATAAAAAAGAGACCTGAGGCGCTTACAGTTTAAGGCCCCCGTCTACAATGGGCCAGCTCATGTCAGTAAGTGCAAATCAACCTAAGTATGGATTGCAGAACTGGATTCCCTAACAAAGCCAGGGAATGAGGAGAAACAGGTGGAGGAAAGGAATAATGCAAAGGATGAGCATTACAATAATAAAAGATCATGAGATGTGCTTTTGTTAAATACACATCTTGTTATTCCCCTTTGGTTTGTTTATATACAAAAGTAGTACATTTTTATAATTCCAATTATTATATTTGTTTGAGGAAGCAGGCCCAGCATAAAAGCATGACAGGAATGCTAGCTGGAAAAAGGGAGTAAACAGTCCTATCAAATAACCCGTACATGCATGAAGTATAAAAGTAAACAGAATGAAAAGAAAGCAACTCACTTTGGGGCATAGTTGCATACCAAGTAAACAGCTCGTCGCCAAACAGATCCCCAGACATTCATATTGTGGCATGTGTGGACTGCGCAGCCTATACGGTTGGAAGTGGCCCAAACCATCTGAATAAATAATCATTATTCTTATGGTGAAGTCAACATTGAAAAGAAATATTATTTATTTACACACACACACACACACACACACACACACACACACACATCACAGACAAGTCCAATTTTGAACTATAGATTGGTGAAGGATGAATGGAACTCATATAACCTGTGTATAATGTGTGCACATGGGTCCATAGCATCTCAGAGGGCATCTAGGGTTGCAGTCCTGAGGATATGGAAAAGCATAGTCTTTCACTTCATCATACCATGGCTTTACCAGCTGAAGAATGGATCGATACCTAGATTAATTTAAAGACATAGGTGGGGGGGAGGGAAAGTTGATTTTTCAAAACTTGTTACGTTAGAACATTTGGCCTGGCATCCATAGTACAGTCATTCACAAACTACTATTCTGTGGAGACCTGAAATCCAGTAATATTTGCCAATGATTAATTCTCATATTCCTGAATGGAATGAAAATCTTTATAAGCTGTAAACAAATTGAGTTCTTGCCATCGCAGTAGCTAAAATGTTCAGACTGGTGTAGCTCCATTGAAATTGACACCAGCTGAGGATATGGCCCTCAATTTTTTTATAAAATAAAAGATTTACAAAATGACAGCTACCTACCTTCCAGTTCTTACAGATAGGTTTTGGCCCAAGAATCTCAGTAAGTAGGAAGGTCCATGGTCCCAAATGCATGTTGCAGCCCAAGCCTCTGCAGACTTGGCAAGAGTTTCATCCCAAACCTGACAAAGTAAAAAGTCCTTAGCAATGGTAGTGAAAAATGTAGACAAATGCAAGATGCAGGTATGATATGATATGATCAGGTCAATATAACATATCAGATTAACAGCTCAACACTTGAAGAAGATTTTTATAATGCTTGATGTTAAATCTGTGGTTCCCATGAAAAATATGTTGTCTGTCTTATAAAAAATAAAATACAGTGAGAGATCTCCAGCATCCACAAGAACATGGCTACAGCATGTATAGGGACTTGTCAGATCTATCAGAGGGCCAGACCACACCACAAAAGTCCAGCACCCCAAGTATGCACCTGTGCCCCATCCTGTAGGAGGAAGGGTCATCCTATGGCACTATTCTCCCAATCCACTTTCCAGGAGTCTTTGGAAGCTCTCTGTATTGGATAGAGTCCAGAGTGGGCAGTGGGGATCCCGTGAATTGTTGGGGAGCAGGGCTAAGAAGACACACATTGTCCTGTGGAACATCCTAGAAAGGATAATGCAACCTCAGATGGTATAACATATTCCATGAAACCTCCTACACACAGCAGGTGGAATAGCCAGCCTGGCTTTTTTGAAGCAGGGCCGGCTCTACAGTTTTTGCCGCCCCAAGCAGTGAAAAAAACTGCCACCGCGAACGGCAAAAGGGAGAAGCTGCCACCGATTTGTTGTCGCGGCCGACAGAACAGAGAGGCAGCAGCTGAATTGCCGCCGCGGCCAGCGGGACAGAGGAAACACTGCTGCGGAAACACTGCCGCCCCTTTCTAACTGCCGCCCCACGCACCTGCTTGGAACGCTGGTGCCTGGAGCCAGCCCTGCTTTGAAGCCAGGTTGTCAGGAAAGTGAAGGACCAGAGTGGAGGCAGAGGGTGTCCTCGGAACTCATCCTCCAGGATCCACACTGAGCACGTGCTTCCATAGCTCATCCCACAGGGGATCAAATGCTATTCCCCAGTTCAATAATCAGCAAACAATTCTGTGAGGAGTTCTTTTAGTGATTTCTTCCCCCTAAGTTTTCTTCCATGATTTTTACTGTGAGAACAAATGATCCAGCACACAGTTTCTTATTACTAGGGATATTTGAATTAAAGGGGAATTTTTTTCCCCTCAGGGGTTAAATAGTGTCTTCTGCTTGTTTCTCATTTGTTCACATAGATCTTTGGTTTGACTCAACCACAAACAGTTATGAAGTCATAAACAGAGGAATGTGTCAGTCAAATAATATAAATAGCATCAATCAATAATCTCTTACAGAATGAACACATATTCAGGGTAATGCCTCTAATAATGAATATTTTACTAATATCATAGAATATGCGCAGATCCCAATATATTTAAAAAATAAAGTTGTGCTCAAGTAACAAAGTCTAGCTCCAGACTTAGATGCATGTTCATAATGCCTCAATGTTCAGGGTATTCCAGTTCAGGCTTTTGATCCAGGTCAGCTTTAACAAAAACAAATAGAAATTCAAGAAAAAAACAAACAATCTGGATAAATATTTTATCCAGGCCAAAAATATATCTCTAAAAACAAAAGCAAACCGAAAACATGCAATGAGGCTGGAGAATGGAACATACACTTTGTCACATATGATGTAAGATGGACAATTGGGGATAAACATCATAGAGGACAATTTGGCACATAATGCCCATTTCTTGACAATGAACTAACGAGCTGCAATTGATTCTGGGAATTACAGACCAGTGAGAATGATCTCAGTACTAGAAAAATAGTTGAGAAAAATCATTGACGTTAGGATTATGGAGTGACTCAAAGGTGCCCTCTTTTAGTGTAACCAAATATGAGATGCAGGAGAAGGAATTGATAGTTTTAAGTTAATTTGGATTTTCGAAGTGCTTTTGATGAAGAACCTTACAAGAACCTCTTGAGGAACTCTAGTAGCCACTGGAAGGAAGTAAGTCTCATCATGGATTAAAACTGGTTGTGTCAGGAAGCTAAGAGTAGTAAGAAAGTAAATAGCCAATTTTAGGTAGGATGCTCCAGGGATCCACAAGAATGTAACATATTTGGATGACATTTGGATTAGACTAGAGAAGAATCTGAGCAATTTCAAAAAGACCTAACCAAAATTAAATTATATTTGGGTAACTAGCTAATTATATTTGGGTAACTAGCAAATTAAATGCCAAGTGGACAAATAAAAGCCAATGAACTATGTAAGTATAGGCACGCCTGTCTGAGGAGCCTCTGAATCCTTTCACAGATACCCTGATTAGACAAACCTCTAGATACTTTATGCTGACTTTGAAGGATTGCAAATCCTATGATGCACTCCCTGGATGCTCTCTGGGACTGGACAAAGCTTCCTGGGTCAGAGACTATTTCAGGGGGTCAGCGGCCTCCATTTTGTGAGTACGGAACTACAACAGACAGCTGCTTCTCCCCTTTGGATCTGGGCCAAGGAGAAACAGAGACAGTCCTGTGATTGAGTTGCCGGGCTGAAGACACATGACCAGGGCTAAGACTACACTACAGATGACAGCTTGTTAGTGCTGAGCCCTTGCTCATGGTCTCTGTCTCCACAGCTAGGCATTGAGGGCAGGAGCTGAAGACTGTCGGTTGTGCAGAAGATCTGAATCTGGCTTAGAGACCACTGAGTAAAGAACAAGTTACCCCTGAGCTATGGCTCTCTAATATAACAACTGTTACTGCAACCTACTACTGTGCAACTGAAGCTGGTCACAATACAAAAGTGCCTCGCTCCTTGTTTCACCTGGACTGCCTTTGCTGGACTTACCGAGTGCCGGCTTGAACTCCTGTTCAGCCACTGCACCAACACAAGAGAGGGCTCAGGACTGTAAACTTAAGGGCGAGCGCACAGTCAGGGATGGGGTGGTATAATGCCAAGAGTGTGGGTGAGGTTTATGCTGAAACTTGCTGTTTAAAGCTGCTGCCATTAGCTGAGCTATTACAGCACCACTACTGTTTTGGTGTAGATATAGCACGAGTCTATATGAGTCTGTTTCATTTTGTATTGTATGTTGGTAGGATAACTTTTAAGTAAAATTGTGTTGGTTTTATTCTGGGTGTTTATTATCTGCATAAGAGCCATTATTCATATTTGTGTACCTGGAGGCCACCAAGGTATACCCATAGGTGTATACTGTGCCTGTCCCGGGAGAGGCACCGCCAGCTATCAATATTAATAGGAATTAGAGGAGTAACGCAGAGGGGGGGTGAGGTTCTGTGTCAAGCAATGTGCAGGGGATCAGACTATAGGATCATGATGGTCCCTTCTGACCTTAAAGTCTATGAGTCTGTGGGTGACTAGAGGATTCCCACCTAATTGTCCATCTCATCTGGGACCCCCAGGGTCTCCATTATCCTTAATGATGTAAGGCAGAGGCAATGTGGGGGTAGTCACATGGGGTCACATGCCCCCTCTCCAGATTTCTCAGGCCGCCTCTCAGGCCGCCTCCCAGCAGCAAGGAGGCAGTGACTCCCCCTTGCAGTGGTGCTGACCATGTGTCTGTACAACACAGGGAGGGAGGCAGCAGCAGGGCGACTGGCTGAGCTCCCCCCTACCCCGCTACATGGGACTCCTTCCCTGTTGCTGGAGTCCCAGTGCTTCCCACTGCTTGCTTTACAGACTGCCCACTGTGGTCAGTCACAGGGTTGGATGCAGAGGTAATATGTGGGGTAGTCACGTGTCCCCCCAGAATCTTTCAGCTGTGCCACCCCTCTCCCCCCGTCCACAGTTATGTGTTACCTCTGGCAACAGATGAGGGTTGCCTGTCCCTGAGTAACCTGGGAAGGAAATAGGGGGCGGGGGGAGAGAGAGGAGAGTTACATAAGGAACAATTTAAAGGCCATGCTTTAGAAGGCTAATAGTGGAAAAAATTACAGTAAAGGTCCCTCCAAAAAGGCACCCTCCAAAGTGAACCTTCAAAACTTGCTGAGTTCACAGTCCTATGTGCCCAGAGCTGCAGTAATGGGGTTGTCCTGGAATAAAATGGTACTATAGTTCTAACTCACATCTGTGACTGCATGTGAAGATTTCAGAATTTTGTCTATGTAAAATTTATGAATGCTAATTGATTTTATGAAATTGCTATTTCAATGAATGTCTCAGTGTATACTCAAAAAGAAAAGGAGTACTTGTGGCACCTTAGAGACTAACAAATTTATTTAAGCATAAGCTTTCGTGAGCTACAGCTCACTTCATTGGATGCATCAATTCTATGTGGATGGCTCATTAAGGATACTTCACTCTAACAATGGGCCATAAAAAATACTTCATATTGCCCATATAGCTCTCCCTGAGGATGCCTCAGGCACTGAGGGGGCCAATGGCCAACGCTGTGAGTCAGCAAGCCATGTAAGAACATGTGATATGCTCATGTGACCCTGGACTCCATCTTCGGACAGTAACTTTCCACAAACAGGGGCTGCAGGCTTTGGGACAGTAAATTTCCATGCACATGACAGAGGATATAAAAAGGCAACTGAAACATCTCCATTTTGTCTTCATTTCCTGCTTCATTTCTCTGGACTGGATTTCTAACAAAGAAGCTCTAAACAAGGACTGATTACCCCAATTTGTTTGAATGATTCCAGAGAGGCTATTGCAAGTTAGCAGTTTATTCCATCACTGCTACAAACTTGGTACAAGGACTTTGCAATTAGTTGTATGTATATGATCTATTAACCATTTATAACTCTCTCCTTTTATTATTAAACCTTTAGATTTTAGTTACTGAAGGACTGGCACCAGCATGATTATTGGGTAAGATCTGAGTTATATATTGACCTGCTAAGTGGCTGATCCCTTGGGATTGGAAGGACCCCAATTCTGATTAAACTGGTTTTCAGTAACCACTCATCATAAAGTCTAAGTGTCTGGGTGGAGAGCCAAGGGCTGGAATGCATAAAGGGGCTATGTTTTTGGCTTCTTGTTAACTAGGGTGGTGATACCGAAGCTCATTTATGTTACTGATTTGGTAAACTCTAATGATAGAATGACCACCAGTTTGGGGTGTGTC